CCTCCATCACTGACCTCCTCCATCACTGACCTCCTCCATTACTGACCTCCTCCATCACTGACCTCCTCCATCTCTGACCTCCTCCTCCATCTCTGACCTCCTCCTCCATCACTGACCTCCTCCATCTCTGACCTCCTCCATCTCTGACCTCCTCCATCACTGACCTCCTCCATCACTGACCTCCTCCATCACTGACCTCCTCCATCACTGACCTCCTCCATCACTGACCTCCTCCATCTCTGACCTCCTCCATCACTGACCTCCTCCATCACTGACCTCCTCCATCACTGACCTCCTCCATCTCTGACCTCCTCCTCCATCTCTGACCTCCTCCTCCATCTCTGACCTCCTCCATCACTGACCTCCTCCATCTCTGACCTCCTCCATCTCTGACCTCCTCCATCACTGACCTCCTCCATCACTGACCTCCTCCATCACTGACCTCCTCCATCTCTGACCTCCTCCATCTCTGACCTCATCCATCTCTGACCTCCTCCATCACTGACCTCCTCCATCACTGACCTCCTCCATCACTGACCTCCTCCATCACTGACCTCCTCCATCTCTGACCTCCTCCATCACTGACCTCCTCCATCACTGACCTCCTCCATCTCTGGACCTCCTCCTCCATCTCTGACCTCCTCCTCCATCACTGACCTCCATCTCTGACCTCCTCCATCTCTGACCTCCTCCATCACTGACCTCTATCATCACTGACCTCCTCCATCACTGACCTCCTCCATCACTGACCTCCTCCATCACTGACCTCCTCCATCACTGACCTCCTCCATCTCTGACCTCCTCCATCACTGACCTCCTCCATCACTGACCTCCTCCATCTCTGACCTCCTCCATCACTGACCTCCTCCATCTCTGACCTCCTCCTCCATCTCTGACCTCCTCCTCCATCACTGACCTCCTCCATCTCTGACCTCCTCCATCTCTGACCTCCTCCTCCATCTCTGACCTCCTCCATCTCTGACCTCCTCCTCCATCACTGACCTCCTCCATCTCTGACCTCCTCCATCTCTGACCTCCTCCATCACTGACCTCCTCCATCACTGACCTCCTCCATCACTGACCTCCTCCATCACTGACCTCCTCCATCTCTGACCTCCTCCATCTCTGACCTCCTCCTCCATCTCTGACCTCCTCCATCTCTGACCTCCTCCTCCATCACTGACCTCCTCCATCTCTGACCTCCTCCATCTCTGACCTCCTCCATCACTGACCTCCTCCATCACTGACCTCCTCCATCACTGACCTCCATCATCACTGACCTCCTGCCGCCTCAGACCCACAGACTCCCACCTCCTCACTCCCCCACAGACTCCCACCTCCTCACTCCCCCACAGACTCCCACCTCCTCACTCCCCCACAGACTCCCACCTCCTCACTCCCCCACAGACTCCCACCTCCTCACTCCCCCACAGACTCCCACCTGTTCAAAAAAACTGCTGTTGAATGAAAACAGTTTATTTTAAGCGTTTTATTTTTGTTTCTGAAAGCATGTTGTGGTCATTATATCTTGATCTAATGACACATGTGAACGTCTTTGAGTGTCCAGAAAAGTGCTAAATAAAACATGCATTATTATTATCATCTAAAAACATAATTTACACTTTGAAATTACAGTGATTAAAGACAAACACATATATAGTAAAGGATCTAAACTAGCTACTTTATTATGCTAAAGTTAGAGAATGTATTTTCCACCGTGGGAACAATAAAGGCTCTCTTCATCTTCATCTTCATCATATATCAATAATGTTTGGACTCGTCTCAAAGAAAAACTCTCAAAACAGAGAATGCTGATTATCTTAAAGGTTTAAAGGAGATTTTTCCAAAGTTTAGGACAGAACCGCCCTCTCCACTTTCTGAACAAAACTCTCTGATCTTATTGGACGAGCTTGTGACGTCAGAATGAGCCAATCGTGTTGGTGATCCACCCTGGGCTAGAACACCCTCCTGTAATCCTCCTTCAAGGATTTATCTGAGCTACTTTGGTTCTGTCTTGGTTTTAGTTTTTTGACTGTGAACTTGTGGGGAGGTTCTCTTCTGCATTTCTCTTTGATCTTTGCTGAATCAACGCTTTTTAAAGTCCTCTGAGAAAACTACTGTAGAGTTTTAGGGCGATACAAACATAAATAGATTGAATAGAATGAACTTCCTGGTCACTCCTACCTGTGATCGAGCTGTCCAGGTTGTCCATGCTGGAGGCGGGGGTGTGCTCCAGGCCGCGGGGGAGTCTGGCCCCGTAGCCTTCGTCCTCTTCGTCCTCCTCCTCCTCTTCATCATCAGGCAGCTCCGTCTCCAGCTCGGACACCATGGTGGACGACACGTACCCCACCGGAGGAGCAGGGGCCTGGGGAGGCAGCGGGCCCCCCTGTATGTGCCTGAGGACAGAGCAGTGAGCTGTGAGACTGGGGGAGAGGGGAGAGGGGAGAGAGAGGGGGAGGAGACAAGGGAGAGAGGGAGAGGGGAGAGAGGGGAGAGAGGGAGAGGAGACAGGGGAGAGAGGGAGAGGGGAGAGAGGGGAGAGGAGACAGGGGAGAGAGGGAGAGGGGAGAGGAGACAGGGGGAGAGGGGAGAGGGGAGAGAGAGGGGGAGGAGACAAAGGAGAGAGGGAGAGGGGAGAGAGGGGAGAGAGGGAGAGGAGACAGGGGAGAGAGGGAGAGGGGAGAGAGGGAGAGGAGACAGGGGAGAGAGGGAGAGGGGAGAGAGGGAGAGAGAGGGGGAGGAGACAGGGGAGAGAGGGAGAGGGGAGAGAGGGAGAGAGAGGGGGAGGAGACAAGGGAGAGAGGGAGAGGGGAGAGAGGGGAGAGAGGGAGAGGAGACAGGGGAGAGAGGGAGAGGAGACAGGGGAGAGAGGGAGAGGGAGAGAGGGAGAGAGGGAGAGGAGACAGGGGAGAGAGGGAGAGAGGGAGAGGAGACAGGGGAGAGAGGGAGAGGGGAGAGAGGGGGGAGGAGACAGGGGAGAGAGGGAGAGGAGACAGGGGCCTGGGGAGGCAGCGGGCCCCCCTGTATGTGCCTGAGGACAGAGCAGTGAGCTGTGAGACCAGGGGGAGAGGGGAGAGGGGAGAGAGAGGGGGAGGAGACAGGGGAGAGAGGGAGAGGTGACAGGGGAGAGAGGGAGAGGGGAGAGGAGAGAGGAGACAGGGGAGAGAGGGAGAGGAGACAGGGGAGAGAGGGAGAGGGGAGAGGAGACAGGGGGAGAGGGGAGAGGGGAGAGAGAGGGGGAGGAGACAAGGGAGAGAGGGAGAGGGGAGAGAGGGGAGAGAGGGAGAGGGGAGAGAGGGAGAGGAGACAGGGGGAGAGGGGAGAGGGGAGAGAGAGGGGGAGGAGACAAGGGAGAGAGGGAGAGGGGAGAGAGGGGAGAGAGGGAGAGGGGACAGGGGAGAGAGGGAGAGGGGAGAGAGGGAGAGGAGAGAGAGGGAGAGGAGACAGGGGAGAGAGGGAGAGGAGACAGGGAAGAGAGGGAGAGGAGAGAGGAGACAGGGAAGAGAGGAGAGGGAGAGGGAGAGAGGGAGAGGAGAGAGAGGGAGAGGAGACAGGGGAGAGAGGGAGAGGAGCAGGGGCCTGGGGAGGCAGCGGGGCCCCCTGTATGTGCCTGAGGACAGAGCAGTGAGCTGTGAGACCAGGGGGAGAGGGGAGAGAGAGGGGGAGGAGACAAGGGAAAGAGGGAGAGGGGAGAGAGGGGAGAGAGGGAGAGGAGACAGGGGAGAGAGGAGACAGGGGAGAGAGGGAGAGGAGACAGGGGAGAGAGGGAGAGGAGAGAGGAGACAGGGAGAGGGGAGAGGAGAGAGGAGACAGGGAGAGGGGAGAGGAGACAGGGGAGAGAGGGAGAGGAGAGAGGAGACAGGGAGAGGGGAGAGGAGACAGGTGAAAGAGGGAGAGGAGAGAGGGAGAGGAGACGGGAGAGAAAGGGAGAAAGGGAGAGGGGAGAGAGGGAGAGGGGAGAGGAGACAGGTGAAAGAGGGAGAGGGGAGAGGAGAGGGGGAGAGGAGACGGGAGAGAAAGGGAGAAAGGGAGAGGGGAGAGAGGGAGAGGGGAGAGGAGACAGGTGAAAGAGGGAGAGGGGAGAGGAGACAGGGGGAGAGCGGAGAGAGGGATAGGAGACAGGTGAAAGAGGGAGAGGAGAGAGGGGAGAGGGGGAGAGGGGAGAAGGTAGGAGCCATGGAGTAGGGGTGAGGAGAGAGGGGAGGCAAGAGAGAGGAGGCCTAGTTCACCTCAGCCTTCAGTGCGTTAGCCTAATGCGCGTCAGCCTAGTGTGCGTCAGCCTAATGCGCGTCAGCCTAGTGTGCGTCAGCCTAGTGTGCGTCAGCCTAGTGTGCGTCAGCCTAGTGTGCGTCAGCCTAGTGTGCGTTAGCCTAGTGCGCGACACCCTTTCACATGTAAACATTTAGCCGCGTGCTAATTCCTCGCGGCTCGCACATGTTCAGGTTGTGACTTGCTAATTGCTGCGGCGCTGCTACAAAGACGGCCTGTGGTGACCTCCCCCGTCTCCCCCGCGCAGGGAGACGGGGGAGTCTGCACTGGGGGAGTCTGGGTAATTGTGTTGCTGTCAGGGATGCGCTGGAAGCTACGCAGTCATTATGGAATAACATGACATCTCCTCCTGACGGGCCCTTCCCCCGCAGGCCCACCGCCCTGCTGCACACTCAGGGCCTCCTCCACACGCCCTGCTGCACACTCAGGGCCTCCTCCACACGCCCTGCTGCACACTCAGGGCCTCCTCCACACGCCCTGCTGCACACTCAGGGCCTCCTCCACACGCCCTGCTGCACACTCAGGGCCTCCTCCACACGCACACCCCAGTCCTATCTGTTCAAGTGCATCCTTTTCAAACTCCGTATCACACTATCACATGAATAAACCTGATTCTGTCGTTTTTGCCTCTAAATTAGTTGCTTCTGTACGACTGCATTTCCACAACATGACAAGTATCTTATTTTCTAAGACTCTGAAATACAATATATATATATATATATATATATATATATATGAATACTAATATACTATAAAAGTACACTGGGCCAGTGTTTTTCAACCTGTTTGTCGTGGTTCGTTAGTGTGGCTTGAGATGTTGTCTGATGTCCCTTTGGTAATGATCTAATTTCACATAATCAGTCAAAATATTGTGAAAAGAAAAGAATGAAAGAAGATTAGACAGACTTTTTAGCGCTTGTGTATTTTTCTATATATCACACTTTGATACGAATGACTTTGCATGGAGACTCAGCTGGTGCTTTTACATGTGAAAAAGGTGTCACGGCTCATTGTTTGTATTCCTATGTCGTTTTTTTGTCTGCAAATGGCAATAAATTGACTCTAAAAATGGTTGGGGAACACTGAATTAGGGCTTTAACAGATTAGAAAAGCTAGTAGTGAAAACGGAATGAATCTGAAGACTGTGGGAGAACGGGAGGATAATTCTCTCCTCCTCCTGACAGGCGCCGCAGAGTGAAGCATGGCCTTCATCTGACTTGCATGAACAATAAAAGACACAATGTTAGGATGTGGGGGGTTAGGGAGGGGGTGCCTAAGTGGGTTAGGGGCACATTATAAACAGAGGATGAATGGCTTCCTGTAGGCAGCACTCCAACACATGTGAGGAGCAGTAAACACAGATGTACTCTTTACTCTTGGCTGTAGCAGGATTGGACGCTGCTTTGATCAAACCATAAAAGCACAAGATATTTGAATAAACGGTGTTATCTCGTGGGCAGAACGTGGCGCAGTCGTTAGTGCTTGTGTGTCTCAGACAGAAGACACGGCCTTTCGGAGGGGAGTTTGCATGTTCTCCCTGTGTCTCTGGTTTTCCCTTCCTCTGCATGATATACAATAGGTCTGCATGTAGTGGGTGAGAGAAGGCTTCGATGCTGCTGTGTCTCGCTTCTGTCATCACCGTGTGGAGAGAATGGGAATTACACCAACACTGTAAGCACTTTGTGTGACCTTGGCCTGTGAAATGTGCTACATAAATTAACTGTCTTACATCTATTATTTCATCCTGTGTCACAAATGAGACCTGCTGCTTTTTAAAACATGAAAATGAATGCCCTCAATTGACCCAGTGACCTGCTCTCAAGTGTGGGCGTGTCTACATTCAAGTCTACATTCAAGTGTGGGTGTGGTCTACTCTCAGGTGTGGGCGTGGTCTACTCACAGGTGTGGGCATCGTCTACTCACAAGTGTGGGTGTGGTCTACTCTCAGGTGTGGGCGTGGTCTACTCACAGGTGTGGGTGTGGTCTACTCTCAGGTGTGGGTGTGGTCTACTCTCAGGTGTGGGTGTGGTCTACTCTCAGGTGTGGGCGTAGCCTACTCACAGGTGTGGGCGTGGTCTACTCACAGGTGTGGGTGTGGTCTGCTCACAGGTGTGGGCGTGGTCTACTCACAGGTATGGGCGTGGTCTACTCTCAGGTGTGGGCGTAGCCTACTCACAGGTGTGGGCGTGGTTTACTCTCAGGTGTGGGCGTGGCCAACGTTCAGGTGTGGGCGTGGTCTACTCACAGGTGTGGGTGTGGTCTACACTCCGGTGTGGCCTACTCTCAGGTGTGGGTGTGGCCTGGTTTCAGGAGAGGGCGTGGCTACACACCAATGCACAATTCTGAGACTATTTGACATGAGTATTGAGAGAACCAGCCTCTCAGCCCAAAGGGTCATGTACTGACTCCCAGGGCTCTTTCTTAACCACAGCTCTCCCACTGGTCGGCCCCTGGACTCACCACGCCTGCTTGGCCATGTCCACCTGGTAGGCCCGGGTCAGCTCGTCCAGGTGGGACTGGAGCATGGGCTGCATCTCGTCGCGGGGGGAGGGGGTGAGCGTGGCGGTGGACTGCTGCCCGAAGGAGACGGCGGCGGGGGACGAGGCCACGCCCCTGACCGGCGGCGTGGGCACTCTCTCCTCCTCCTCCTCCAGCTCGTCCTCCAGGCCCTGGTGCAGGTAGGTCTGCACCGGCATCGGGGGCCCCCAGCCGTCACTCTCATAACTGCAAACACAATAAGTGATGTAGGACTGTTAATGTGGGCGTTCTGGTGGAGCCCGCAGCACCTGGAGGGAATCCCAGGTCTGTTTTGGAATCATCCAAAATCATGTATTCACATCCAGGACTGTTTAAACTCCACTATCCTGTGAGCAGAAAGGTGGCGCCGTGGGGAGGGCGTGTGCAGGGTCAGCCAGGGCCTTTCAGAGGGGAGTTTGCATGTTCTCCCCGTGTTTCCCCAATGCTTGTTTTAAGTATTTCTTATTTCCAGACAACTTTGCTTGTTGTTTAGATAAAATAAGTCTGCTATGTTATATTTTAAGATAACATTTCTCAAAAATTTTTAAGAAATAAGTAAATAATACTTGAAATGTATGTTTTTATTCTAGAAGCAAGTCATGTGTTGCTACTGTTAGCTTTATAGAATGATACATTGTATTTTTTATTTTTGCTGCTACTGGACACCTGGACTTCTCCTATACGGGGATCAATAAAGTATCTATCCATCTGTTTATTTGGGGCGGTTATTTTTTTATTTTATTTTTTAAATGCCCTTGTTCTATTGGCAGATCATTTTTATAATTTTAAGCAATATTTTACTTATTTTTAGATATTTTTTTCCAAAGGATTTTTCCAGTGCACAGAGATTATAACATCAGACCCCGCTCAAAAGCCTAAATCTCATTTAAACCCTGAAAAACACAAATCCTGGCCTCTTCAGAGATATGTCCTGTTACTGTTGGTACATATTGTACATATACTATATACATATAGACTTAATGGGGCGGCACGGTGGCTGAGTGGATAGCACTCTCGCCTCTCAGCAAGAAGGTCCTGGGTTCGAATCCCGGTCGGACCAGGGCCTTTCTGAGTGGAGTTTGCATGTTCTCCCCGTGTCTGCGTAGGTTTCCTCCGGGTACTCCGGTTTCCCCTACCACTAAAAATATGTCCAATAGTTCTGGCATGTGCCTCCTGTACTGGCCCCGCTCCCATCTCTGTGTGGAGTGAGAGACAAATGCCCAAAATTAACAATTGTAAACCGCTTTGAGACTCAGATCTGCAGTGAAAAGGCGGTATATAAATAAAGATTACTTACTATGTAATGGAAGGCCCATTACAGTCTGCGCTGCACCTATCGTCACTGTAGAACCACCATAGTCCAGGAACAGTAAAGTAGGAAGACCCTTATACTCTTCACCTCGTGAAAACACCGCACACGTTCTGCTAAATGCTAGATTAAAACCTCCTCTCCTCCTCCCCGGGCCGATACTCCCTGTACAGCTGCAGTTTACGACACTGACCTTGTCCAAGTTTCTGAGCGCGGTTTTGATGTGACAGAGTTATGACGGGCTCAGCTCCGGCCGCGGCCACGCCATGAAATAATACGCGCCATAAAGAGAATGTTCATTAGAGGAATTCGTCAGCTTAATCTGCGCCGTTACGAGCTCGCAGATTTACATTCGACAGCACGCCTTTCACAGACTATTATGGGCTGGAGACGCACGGGGAGGAGGCCGGGCTGCACTCCTCGCTAATTAAACAGACAGAAGTCAAGAAGATAAACCAAACACAACTTTTTCAGATTCACAGAGAAAGTCTGTAAGTATTTAAGTATTTGTACTTTCTGATGGACACATAATGAGCTGTACTTTATTGGCTCCGGTGGTAAGTGTGCGTTTGACCCATTCTTCACTCCCACCAGGGCATCTGTGAGGAGCAGTGTTCTCAGTCAGGACCAGAGCTGGAGGGGGGCCCAGACCATCAACGGAGACGAAGGGGACTCACTTCTCTAAAGAGCACAGAGCGGCAGAGGGCGTGGTCAGTCTGAGGGGGCGTGGTCAGTCTGAGGGGGCGTGGTCAGTCTGAGGGGGTGTGGTCAGTCTGAGGGAAGGTGGTCAGTCTGAGGGAAGGTGGTCAGTCTGAGGGGGTGTGGTAAATCTGTGGGGGTGTGGTCAGTCTGTCGGGGTGTGGTCAGTCTGTGGGGGTGTGGTCAGTCTGAGGGGGTGTGGTAAATCTGAGGGGGCGTGGTCAGTCTGTCGGGGTGTGGTCAGTCTGTGGGGGTGTGGTCAGTCTGAGGGGGTGTGGTAAATCTGAGGGGGCGTGGTCAGTCTGGGGGGTGTGGTAAATCTGAGGGGGCGTGGTCAGTCTGAGGGGGTGTGGTCAGTCGGAGGGGGCATGGTCAGAATGAGGGGGCGTAGTCAGTTGGAGGGGGCGTGGTCAGTATGAGGGGGCGTAGTCAGTTGGAGGGGGCGTGGTCAGTATGAGGGGGCGTAGTCAGTTGGAGGGGGCGTGGTCAGTATGAGGGGGAGTGGTTAGTCAAGGGGTGTTATCAGTCTGAGGGGGTGTGGTCAGTCTGAGGGGGTGTGGTAAATCTAAGGGGGCGTGGTCAGAACAAGGGGGTGTGGTAAGTTTGAGAGGGCGTGGTCAGTCTGAGGGGGTGCGGTCAGTATGACGAGGTGTGGTCAGTCTGAGGGGGCGTGGTCAGTACAAGGAGTTGTGGTAAGTCTGGGAGTGTGTGGTCAGTTGAAGGGGGCGTGGTCAGTCTGTGGGGGTGTGGTCAGTCTGTGGGGGTGTGGTCAGTCTGTGGGGGCATGGTCAGTCTGAGAGTGTGTGGTCAGTCAGAGGGGGCGTGGTCAGTCTGTGGGGGTGTGGTCAGAATGATGGGGAGTGGTTAGGGGCGTGGTCATTCTGCCTGCATCCGGTAACAAAGGCAAATCAGAGACATGTCACACCCTCATGAGTCTCCTCTGACAAACTTTCAGATTTCAGTTTCAGGGTCTAAAGACAGTGATGATGATCCGGGACACTCCACATTCAACATTTATGGACATTGGTCTCTGCTCCTCTTGGACAAGGAGCCAAAGTGTTTTCTATTTCTGCATTTCCTGTGTTTGGACCGTTTGATTCTCTGATCTGTGTTGGAGAATCAAAGGTTTCCTCTGAGTCCTCTGAGATAACCGCTGCTGTGATTTAGGGCGATACAAGAATAAATGTAATTGAATTGAGACGTACCCAGCTTCGTGCATGTCCCCAGGGTAGTGGTCCATGTCGGTCCCAGGCAGAGGGTGCACGGGGGGAGGGGGCAGGGGGACGTTGGCCCAGTTGGAACCAGTGTTGGCTTTGCCCTGTTTGGAGCCAGCCTTGGTCTTCTTCTTCTTCCCTCCTCTCCCACCTGCAAACAGGAAAACAGAAAACAGTTCAGAGTCAGAGACATTCAAACTGTAGAGTAACAGTCAACTACAGTGTCATGGTGTGGATCTGAGCTTGGTAATGGCCACACTGGGAAAAAACCCTTGAAAATAAAAACAAAATATATGAAAATAACAATTATCTGCCAATGGAACAAGAAAATATGACTTTACCAGATTTCTGAAAGTAAGAAAATAACACTTGCCCCAAATGACTTGATTCTAGAATAAAAACATACATTTCAAGTGATATTTACTTGAATTGAGAAATATTTTCTGAAAATATAGCATCATTTTTGCTAAACAAGAAAAGTTGTCTGGAATTAAGAAAAATACTTAAAACAAGCTTAAAAACTCACTGCTCAGACTTGTTTCTCTAATAACATTATGACGTATTATTTACTAGTAAAATAATATCACATGACAAACTACACTTTGTCAAGATAAGCATAATTTCTGATATTATTAGTGCATAAATCTTAGAGTTTTTCATTGTTTCCAGTGTATAGCATGTATGTATTGGTAGATTCGCAGTTAACGATCACTGTGGCTAATGTGTTAGCATAGCCTCGGCCTCAGCTTGGTCACGCTGCTATAGTTGATGTAATTACAGCTTTAGTTTCTACTGTCACTGCATTAAAAGTTGACCTGACACATCCACCCTGAACACAAACACTGAATGTTCCGTCGCTGTGTGTGAATCACGCGTCCACAGATGAGCCGCAAACTTCCCACGAGCACAGCCTTGGCGAGTGCAGCTCTCTCTGCCGCTCTCAATGGCCCCAGCGCTGAGAGCCTCAAGGTCTGCCCTGATGAAAAGCGCGCAGGCTATTGATCGACCGGCCGCCAAAGCTCACATTTCCATAGAAACGGCATCAGAATCAGCCTCTGACACCACCCACCCAGCCCTCTCTCTCTGCGCGCACATCCTCATAATGAATGCCTGTGCGGTGTCAGTGCGCCCCTAATGGAATTCACCCAGAGTCTATTACTACTCCCATTTCTTTTATTACAGCGACTAGCGGATAACCCCGGCCCCCCCCCCGCAGCCCCCTCCCCCCCGCAGCCCCCTCCTCACACCATCCATCTTTATAGAGCTGCCAGCTGGGTCAATATTCCTCTGATTCCATTTGGACACAGTGGAAGAAATCTACTTTTAGCTTTTTTTTGTTGGCTGAAATCTGGATTTAAGTGAAGATGAATGGGGCAGAGTGTGTGTGTGTCGGAGGGGCAGAGCGTGTGTGTGTGTGTCGGAGGGGCAGAGTGTGTGTGTCGGAGGGGCAGAGCGTGTGTGTGTGTGTCGGAGGGGCAGAGTGTGTGTGTCGGAGGGGCAGAGTGTGTGTGTCGGAGGGGCAGGGCGTGTGTGTGTGTGTCGGAGGGGCAGAGTGTGTGTGTGTCGGAGGGGCAGAGTGTGTGTGTCGGAGGGGCAGAGTGTGTGTGTCGGAGGGGCAGAGCGTGTGTGTGTGTGTCGGAGGGGCAGAGTGTGTGTGTGTGTCGGAGGGGCAGAGCGTGTGTGTGTGTGTCGGAGGGGCAGAGTGTGTGTGTCGGAGGGGCAGAGCGTGTGTGTGTGTGTCGGAGGGGCAGAGTGTGTGTGTGTGTCGGAGGGGCAGAGCGTGTGTGTGTGTGTCGGAGGGGCAGAGTGTGTGTGTGTGTGTCGGAGGGGCAGAGTGTGTGTGTGTGTCGGAGGGGCAGAGTGTGTGTGTGTGTGTCGGAGGGGCAGAGTGTGTGTGTGTGTCGGAGGGGCAGAGTGTGTGTGTGTGTGTCGGAGGGGCAGAGTGTGTGTGTGTGTGTCGGGGGGGCAGAGTGTGTGTGTGTGTGTCGGAGGGGCAAAGTGTGTGTGTGTCGGAGGGGCAGAGTGTGTGTGTGTGTCGGAGGGGCAGAGTGTGTGCGTGTCGGAGGAGCAGAGTGTGTGTGTGTCGGAGGGGCAGAGTGTGTGTGTGTCGGAGGGGCAGAGTGTGTGTGTGTGTGTCGGAGGGGCAGAGTGTGTGTGTGTGTGTCGGAGGGGCAGAGTGTGTGTGTGTCGGAGGGGCAGAGTGTGTGTGTGTGTGTCGGAGGGGCAGAGTGTGTGTGTGTCGGAGGGGCAGAGTGTGTGTGTGTCGGAGGGGCAGAGCGTGTGTGTGTGTGTCGGAGGGGCAGAGTGTGTGTGTGTGTGTCGGAGGGGCAGAGTGTGTGTGTCGGAGGGGCAGAGTGTGTGTGTGTGTGTCGGAGGGGCAGAGTGTGTGTGTGTGTGTCGGAGGGGCAGAGTGTGTGTGTGTCGGAGGGGCAGAGTGTGTGTGTGTCGGAGGGGCAGAGTGTGTGTGTGTGTGTCGGAGGGGCAGAGCGTGTGTGTGTGTGTCGGAGGGGCAGAGTGTGTGTGTGTGTGTCGGAGGGGCAGAGTGTGTGTGTGTGTGTCGGAGGGGCAGAGTGTGTGTGTGTGTCGGAGGGGCAGAGTGTGTGTGTGTGTGTCGGAGGGGCAGAGTGTGTGTGTGTGTGTCGGAGGGGCAGAGTGTGTGTGTCGGAGGGGCAGAGTGTGTGTGTGTGTGTCGGAGGGGCAGAGTGTGTGTGTGTGTGTCGGAGGGGCAGAGTGTGTGTGTGTGTGTCGTGAGGGGCAGAGTGTGTGTGTGTGTGTGTGTGTGTCGGAGGGGCAGAGCGTGTGTGTGTGTGTCGGAGGGGCAGAGTGTGTGTGTGTGTGTCGGAGGGGCAGAGTGTGTGTGTGTGTGTCGGAGGGGCAGAGTGTGTGTGTGTGTCGGAGGGCGAGTGTGGGTCGGAGGCAGAGTGTGTGTGTGTCGGAGGGGCAGAGTGTGTGTGTGTGTCGGAGGGGCAGAGTGTGTGTGTGTGTGTCGGAGGGGCAGAGGTGTGTGTGTGTGTCGGAGGGGCAGAGTGTGTGTGTGTGTGTCGGAGGGGCAGAGTGTGTGTGTGTGTGTCGGAGGGGCAGAGTGTGTGTGTGTGTCGGAGGGCAGAGTGTGTGTGTGTCGGAGGGCAGAGTGTGTGTGTGTGTCGGAGGGGCAGAGTGTGTGTGTGTGTCGGAGGGGCAGAGTGTGTGCGTGTCGGAGGGGCAGAGTGTGTGCGTGTCGGAGGGGCAGAGTGTGTGTGTGTGTGTCGGAGGGGCAGAGTGTGTGTGTCGGAGAGCAGAGTGTGTGTGTGTCGGAGGGGCAGAGTGTGTGTGTGTCGGAGGGGCAGAGTGTGTGTGTGTCGGAGGGGCAGAGTGTGTGTGTGTCAGAGGGGCAGAGTGTGTGCGTGTCGGAGGGGCAGAGTGTGTGTGTGTGTGTCGGAGGGGCAGAGTGTGCGTGTCGGAGGGGCAGAGTGTGTGTGTGTGTGTCGGAGGGGCAGAGTGTGTGTGTCGGAGAGCAGAGTGTGTGTGTGTCGGAGGGGCAGAGTGTGTGTGTCGGAGGGGCAGAGTGTGTGTGTGTCGGAGGGGCAGAGTGTGTGTGTGTCAGAGGGGCAGAGTGTGTGCGTGTCGGAGGGGCAGAGTGTGTGTGTGTGTGTCGGAGGGGCAGAGTGTGTGTGTCGGAGAGCAGAGTGTGTGTGTGTCGGAGGGGCAGAGTGTGTGTGTCGGAGGGGCAGAGTGTGTGTGTGAGGGCAGAGTGTGTGCGTGTCGGAGGGGCAGAGTGTGTGTGTCGGAGAGCAGAGTGTGTGTGTGGGCAGAGTGTGTGCGTGTCGGAGGGGCAGAGTGTGTGTGTGTGTCGGAGGGGCAGAGTGTGTGCGTGTCGGAGGGGCAGAGTGTGTGTGTCGGAGAGTGTGTGTGTGTGTGTCGGAGGGGCAGAGTGTGTGTGTCGGAGGGGCAGAGTGTGTGCGTGTCGGAGGGGCAGAGTGTGTGTGTGTCGGAGGGGCAGAGTGTGTGCGTGTCGGAGGGGCAGAGTGTGTGCGTGTCGGAAGGGCAGAGTGTGTGTGTCGGAGGGGCAGAGTGTGTGCGTGTCGGAGGGGCAGTGTGTGTGTGTGTCGGAGGGGCAGAGTGTGTGTGTCGGAGAGCAGAGTGTGTGTGTGTCGGAGGGGCAGAGTGTGTGTGTGTCGGAGGGGCAGAGTGTGTGTGTGTCGGAGGGGCAGAGTGTGTGCGTGTCGGAAGGGCAGAGTGTGTGTGTCGGAGGGGCAGAGTGTGTGCGTGTCGGAGGGGCAGTGTGTGTGTGTGTCGGAGGGGCAGAGTGTGTGTGTGTCGGAGGGGCAGTGTGTGTGTGTGTCGGAGGGGCAGAGTGTGTGTGTGTCGGAGGGGCAGAGTGTGTGTGTGTGTCGGAGGGGCAGAGTGTGTGTGTGTCGGAGGGGCAGTGTGTGTGTGTGTCGGAGGGGCAGAGTGTGTGTGTCGGAGGGGCAGAGTGTGTGTGTCGGAGGGGCAGAGTGTGTGTGTCGGAGGGGCAGTGTGTGTGTGTCGGAGGGGCAGAGTGTGTGTGTCGGAGGGGCAGAGTGTGTGTGTGTGTCGGAGGGGCAGAGTGTGTGTGTCGGAGGGGCAGAGTGTGTGCGTGTCGGAGGGGCAGAGTGTGTGTGTCGGAGGGGCAGAGTGTGTGTGTCGGAGGGGCAGAGTGTGTGTGTCGGAGGGGCAGAGTGTGTGTGTGTCGGAGGGGCAGTGTGTGTGTGTCGGAGGGGCAGAGTGTGTGTGTGTCGGAGGGGCAGAGTGTGTGTGTGGAGGGCAGAGTGTGTGCGTGTCGGAGGGGCAGAGTGTGTGTGTGTGTGCGTGTCGGAGGGGCAGAGTGTGTGTGTCGGAGGGGCAGAGTGTGTGTGTGTCGGAGGGGCAGTGTGTGTGTGTGTCGGAGGGGCAGAGTGTGTGTGTGTCGGAGGGGCAGAGTGTGTGTGTGTCGGAGGGCAGAGTGTGTGGTGTCGGAGGGGCAGAGTGTGTGTGTGTGTCGGAGGGCAGAGTGTGTGCGTGTCGGAGGGGCAGAGTGTGTGTGTGTCGGAGGGCAGAGTGTGTGTGTGAGGGCAGAGTGTGTGTGTGTACCCAGTGAGAGGTGATGTGATGGGCAGAGTGTGTGTGTGTACCCAGTGAGAGGTGATGGGCAGAGTGTGTGTGTGTACCCAGTGAGAGGTGGTGTGATGGGCAGAGTGTGTGTGTGTACCCAGTGAGAGGTGATGTGATGGGCAGAGTGTGTGTGTGTACCCAGTGAGGTGGTGTGATGGGCAGAGTGTGTGTGTGTACCCAGTGAGAGGTGATGGGCAGAGTGTGTGTGTGTACCCAGTGAGAGGTGGTGTGATGGGCAGAGTGTGTGTGTGTACCCAGTGAGAGGTGATGGGCAGAGTGTGTGTGTACCCAGTGGGAGGTGGTGTGATGGGCAGAGTGTGTGTGTGTACCCAGTGAGAGGTGGTGTGATGGGCAGAGTGTGTGTGTGTAACATCTGTACCCAGTGAGGTGGGCAGAGTGTGTGTCTGTAACATCTGTACCCAGTGTGATGGGCAGAGTGTGTGTCTGTAACATCTGTACCCAGTGTGATGGGCAGAGTGTGTGTGTCTGTAACATCTGTACCCAGTGTGATGGGCAGAGTGTGTGTGTCTGTAACATCTGTACCCAGTGTGATGGGCAGAGTGTGTGTGTCTGTAACATCTGTACCCAGTGTGATGGGCAGAGTGTGTGTGTCTGTAACATCTGTACACAGTGTGATGGGCAGAGTGTGTGTGTCTGTAACATCTGTACCCAGTGAGGTGGGCAGAGTGTGTGTCTGTAACATCTGTACCCAGTGAGGTGGGCAGAGTGTGTGTCTGTAACATCTGTACCCAGTGAGAGGTGGTGTGATGGGCAGAGTGTGTGTGTCTGTAACATCTGTACCCAGTGTGATGGGCAGAGTGTGTGTGTCTGTAACATCTGTACCCAGTGAGGTGGGCAGAGTGTGTGTGTCTGTAACATCTGTACCCAGTGTGATGGGCAGAGTGTGTGTCTGTAACATCTGTACCCAGTGAGAGGTGGTGTGATGGGCAGAGTGTGTGTGTCTGTAACATCTGTACCCAGTGAGGTGGGCAGAGTGTGTGTGTCTGTAACATCTGTACCCAGTGAGGTGGGCAGAGTGTGTGTCTGTAACATCTGTACCCAGTGAGAGGTGGTGTGATGGGCAGAGTGTGTGTGTCTGTAACATCTGTACCCAGTGAGAGGTGGTGTGATGGGCAGAGTGTGTGTGTCTGTAACATCTGTACCCAGTGAGAGGTGGTGTGATGGGCAGAGTGTGTGTGTCTGTAACATCTGTACCCAGTGTGATGGGCAGAGTGTGTGTGTCTGTAACATCTGTACCCAGTGTGATGGGCAGAGTGTGTGTGTCTGTAACATCTGTACCCAGTGTGATGGGCAGAGTGTGTGTGTCTGTAACAAATCAATCAATCAAATCTTTATTTGTAGAGCACATTTAAAACAGCCTAGGCTTACCAAAGTGCTGAACAGACAGCGAGGAAAAATTATAAAATAAAAACACATAAAATACAGAAATGTATATACAAAAAGAAATCGAAAAATTTGTCTCTGTCTACTTGGTAGTAAAAGCCAAAGAAAAAAGATGCGTTTTAAGCAGGGATTTAAAGTGCTCGAGTGATTGTGCAGTTCTGATGTGCAAAGGTAAAAAGTTCCACAACTTTGGCCCTATAACAGAAAAAGCTCTGTCTCCTCTGGTCTTCAGCCTGGTCCTAGGGACGACAAGAAGGTGCTGATCTGCAGAGCGCAGTGCTCTGGAGGGAAGGTGAGGCTGGAGGAGTTCATATAAATAAGAAGGTGCCATTCTATTAAAACTTTTAAAAACGATAATAAGAATTTTAAAATGAATTCTAAAATATACCGGGAGCCAGTGCAGGGATTGCAAAACAGGAGTGATGTGCTCCCTGCGCTTTGTCCCTGTTAAAAGACGGGCTGCTGCATTTTGCACTCCCTGTAAGCGGCTGAGCTGGGCCTGGTCAATGCCGACATAGAGAGAGTTACAATAATCAAGCCTGGAAGTGATAAAAGCATGAATGGCCTTCTCAAAATGGGCATGTGGAATATAAGATTTTACTTTGCTAAGAACTCTGAGATAATAAAAACTTGTTTTAAGAACAGCATTTATCTGCTTATCAAATTTAAAATGGCTGTCAATAATAAATCCTAGATTCCTGGCGTGGGGCTTTTCATAAACCATAAGAGGTCCTATAGCACTGTCACAGTTCAGCAGAGGGTCAGAAGTCCCAAAGGTAAGTATTTCTGTTTTCCTGTTGTTTAAACTAAGGAAGTTATCTTGCATCCATTCCTGAACTTCCTTCAAACAATCAACAAGTGTCTGTACACAGCTGCTAGTCTGAATGGGCAGATATATTTGGACATCATCAGCATAGCAGTGGTAGGAAATATTATGCTTCTCAAATATAGCTCCTAAGGGAAGCATGTAAAGACAAAATAGGGTAGGGCCCAAAATACTGCCTTGGGGCACTCCACACTTTAAATTGGACGCTTGAGAGGAGAACTGGCCAAATTGAACAGAAAAGGTTCTCTCAGTCAGATAGGACTGGAACCATTTAAGTGCAGTTCCTGTGATGCCCACTTGTTGCTCGAGGCGTGCAATAAGAATATCATGGTCCACCGTATCGAACGCTGACGATAAATCTAGGAGAACTAGAGCAGAAGGGCGGCCTGAGTCTGAGACTGAATAAAGATCATTAAGAACTCTAAGAAGAGCAGTCTCAGTACTATGCTTGGCTTTGAAACCTGACTGAAACTTCTCAGTGATGCTGTAAATATCAAGATGGTCCTGTAGTTGAACGAGAACAACCTTTTCCAAGATCTTAGAAATAAAAGGCAACTTTGAGATGGGCCTATAATTCGACAAGCATGTAGGGTCAAGATTGTGCTTTTTAAGAAGAGGTTGTACCACGGCATGTTTAAGTGTGATAGGTACACATCCTGAATTTAAAGATGCATTAACTATGTTAAGGACCCAAATCCCCACTGTGTTGAACACCTCCTTAAACAGACGAGATGGGATGGAGTCAAGGGGACAACAAGACGGGCGTAGCTTTTTTACAATGTCTGTCACAAATGCTAAGGACACATTTTCAAAACACTCAAATACATTTTGACAGCCATTATCTATATTCATAAAACTGGGCTTACACAACGGAGACTGCCTAATGGAGGCAATTTTGTCATTAAAAAATACAATAAAATCATTGCATAGTTTGTAAGAGGCCACTACAGGGGGAGAAGTGCATGGATTAATCAAAGAGGTCAGTGTATTAAAAAGAACCTGGGGTTTGTGGCAATTGATAGTAACAACGTTGGACAAAAATTTAGACTTGGCAGTTTTAACTGCTCTCTGATATGACTGTAGACTGTCTTTCAGCATGTCCAGTGACACCTGCAGACGGTCCTTTTGCCAGCGTCTCTCCGCACGTCTGCAGATGCGCCTCAGAGCCCGTGTTGTGTCATTAAGCCAGGGCTCAGCTTTAGGCTTTACGCATTTGACTCTGGATGGGGCTACGAGATCAATAATGCTTGAGCATGTAGCGTTGAATAAAGAGACCATGTCTTCCACAGCTAAATCACTGCCGCAGTCGTTGTTCAGTATAAAGTCAGAGAAAGCCAACGAAAATGTGAGTGCAGTTTGCGAGTTGCATGTGCGCACTTTGCGCGCAGGGGCACACGGCTTAATGTTAGATTTTGGAAGCGTCAGAGTAAAGAGCACGGCGTAGTGATCTGAGATACCCGTGTCACAGATATCAATAATCTCCAGATTCAGACCAAAAGACAGCACAAGATCGAGCGTATGTCCCTTTTCATGTGTTGGGCCAGGGACCAGCTGTGCCAAGTTAAACGTTTCTAAAACATTTAAAAAGTCCTTGACTAATGGTTTAGACTCGCAGCACACATGGATATTAAAGTCACCAGCAATAATAAAACAGTCATATTTCAGCACGAGCCCTGTAACAAAGTCTGTGAATTCCTGAATAAAATCCTTATGAATTTTAGGAGGACGATACATTAAGGCACAGATGACAGGAGCGCGTTCAAGCATAAATGTTTGTAATTCAAAGCTTGAAAAGCTTTCAGATGGAATTTGCTTGCATGGAAACGAGTCTTTAAACACTGTGGCAAGCCCACCTCCCCTACCACTAGTACGCGGGGAGCTAATGAATGAGTAGCCTGGTGGAAGGAGTTCGGAAAACGCCGTGGACTCACCAGCTTGGACCCATGTCTCCGTGAATAAAGTAATATCCAAATCCCGTGTCGCGATCAGGTCGTTGAGAAGAAAAGTCTTATTTGTTAGCGATCTAACATTCATGAGGCCCAAGCAAATAGTTACGTCCTCGTGGTGAAGCGAGGAGGAGCGGGCGAGAGGCCGGAGTGCACCGAGATCCACTCTGCGTTGGTCGCCTCTGCGTCTCCTCAGGACGAGCGTCTCCAGTGGCAGGTGGCACGAGCGCATCTGCGCGGCCTCTGGAGCAGGGAAGATGGGTAGAATCCAGCGCAGACCTGGGAAGAGTCTGTGAGTGGAGCCTCCGCGGGTGAAGTAAGTTGAAGAGCTGTATGCTTTGGACAATCTCAATTTGACCAAAAGACCAGCACGTCTACCGCGCCTTCTGGGACGCTTTTTCTGCATTGGGACTGGCACACGCCAAAGGTACGATGGGACACTGGACAGGTGCGGGGGTAGACTCCACGTTGTTTGTTCGGAATCACATTTAGCCGTCCAACTTTGTGCAGTTTGAATATCAAGAAGAGTTTGTCGATCATACACCAATAGAGCAGAGACATATTTTCGGTGAAAACATAATAATAAGATGACATGTATTAAAATGAATAGAGTCGATAGGCGACCGGCCACACACGCTGGCGCCATCTTGATCCCTCTTTCGTATAACGTGTGTGTGTCTGGGACCCAACGTGTAACATCTGTACCCAGTGTGATGGGCAGCAGAGTGTGTGTGTCTGTAACATCTGTACCCAGTGTGATGGGCAGAACATGTCTGTAACATCTGTACCCAGTGTGATGGGCAGAGTGTGTGTGTCTGTAACATCTGTACCCAGTGTGATGGGCAGAGTGTGTGTGTCTGTAAGGAGCAGAGTGTGTGTGTCAGGAGCAGAGTGTGTGTGTCAGGAGCAGCGTGTGTGTGTCAGGAGCAGCGTGTGTGTGTCAGGAGCAGGAGCAAGTGTGTGTGTCAGGAGCAGCGTGTGTGTGTGTCAGGAGCAGAGTGTGTGTGTCAGGAGCAGCGTGTGTGTGTCAGGAGCAGGAGTGTGTGTGTCAGGAGCAGAGTGTGTGTGTCAGGAGCAGCGTGTGTGTGTCAGGAGCTGAGTGTATGTGTCATGCAGTGTGTGTGTGTCAGGAGCAGAGTGTGTGTGTCAGGAGCAGAGTGTGTGTGTCAGGAGCAGAGTGTGTGTGTCAGGAGCAGCGTGTGTGTGTCAGGAGCATGAGTGTGTGTGTCAGGAGCAGAGTGTGTGTGTGTCAGGAGCAGAGTGTGTGTGTCAGGAGCAGCGTGTGTGTGTCAGGAGCAGCGTGTGTGTGTCAGGAGCAGCGTGTGTGTGTCAGGAGCTGAGTGTGTGTGTCAGGAGCAGAGTGTGTGTGTCAGGAGCAGCGTGTGTGTGTCAGGAGCAGCGTGTGTGTGTCAGGAGCTGAGTGTATGTGTCAGGAGCAGAGTGTGTGTGTCAGGAGCAGAGTGTGTGTGTCAGGAGCAGAGTGTGTGTGTCAGGAGCAGAGTGTGTGTGTCAGGAGCAGAGTGTGTGTGTCAGGAGCAGCGTGTGTGTGTCAGGAGCAGCGTGTGTGTGTCAGGAGCAGCGTGTGTGTGTCAGGAGCTGAGTGTGTGTCAGTCAGGAGCAAGAGTGTGTGTGTCAGGATGCAGAGTGTGTGTGTCAGGAGCAGCGTGTGTGTGTCAGGAGCAGCGTGTGTGTGTGTCAGGAGCAGAGTGTGTGTGTCAGGAGCAGCGTGTGTGTGTCAGGAGCAGCGTGTGTGTGTCAGGAGCAGAGTGTGTGTGTCAGGAGCAGCGTGTGTGTGTCAGGAGCAGAGTGTGTGTGTCAGGAGCAGAGTGTGTGTGTCAGGAGCAGCGTGTGTGTGTCAGGAGCAGCGTGTGTGTGTCAGGAGCAGAGTGTGTGTGTCAGGAGCAGAGTGTGTGTGTCAGGAGCAGAGTGTGTGTGTCAGGAGCAGAGTGTGTGTGTCAGGAGCAGAGTGTGTGTGTCAGGAGCAGAGTGTGTGTGTCAGGAGCAGAGTGTGTGTGTCAGGAGCAGAGTGTGTGTGTCAGGAGCAGCGTGTGTGTGTCAGGAGCAGCGTGTGTGTGTCAGGAGCTGAGTGTGTGTGTCAGGAGCAGAGTGTGTGTGTCAGGAGCAGCGTGTGTGTGTCAGGAGCAGCGTGTGTGTGTCAGGAGCAGAGTGTGTGTGTCAGGAGCAGAGTGTGTGTGTCAGGAGCAGAGTGTGTGTGTCAGGAGCAGAGTGTGTGTGTCAGGAGCAGCGTGTGTGTGTCAGGAGCAGAGTGTGTGTGTCAGGAGCAGCGTGTGTGTGTCAGGAGCAGCGTGTGTGTGTCAGGAGCTGAGTGTGTGAGTCAGGAGCAGAGTGTGTGTGTCAGGAGCAGAGTGTGTGTGTCAGGAGCAGAGTGTGTGTGTCAGGAGCAGCGTGTGTGTGTCAGGAGCTGAGTGTATGTGTCAGGAGCAGAGTGTGTGTGTCAGGAGCAGAGTGTGTGTGTCAGGAGCAGCGTGTGTGTGTCAGGAGCTGAGTGTATGTGTCAGGAGCAGAGTGTGTGTGTCAGGAGCAGAGTGTGTGTGTCAGGAGCAGCGTGTGTGTGTGGTCAGGAGCAGAGTGTGTGTGTCAGGAGCAGCGTGTGTGTGTCAGGAGCAGAGTGTGTGTGTCAGGAGCAGAGTGTGTGTGTCAGGAGCAGAGTGTGTGTGTCAGGAGCAGAGTGTGTGTGTCAGGAGCAGAGTGTGTGTGTCAGGAGCAGAGTGTGTGTGTCAGGAGCAGCAGGAGCAGCGTGTGTGTGTCAGGAGCTGAGTGTGTGTGTCAGGAGCAGGTGTGTGTCAGGAGCAGAGTGTGTGTGTCAGGAGCAGAGTGTGTGTGTCAGGAGCAGAGTGTGTGTGTCAGGAGCAGCAGTGTGTGTGTCAGGAGCAGAGTGTGTGTGTCAGGAGCAGCGTGTGTGTGTCAGGAGCAGAGTGTGTGTGTCAGTGAGTGTGTGTCAGGAGCAGAGTGTGTGTGTCAGGAGCAGAGTGTGTGTGTCAGGAGCAGAGTGTGTGTGTCAGGAGCAGAGTGTGTGTGTCAGGAGCAGAGTGTGTGTGTCAGGAGCAGAGTGTGTGTGTCAGGAGCAGAGTGTGTGTGTCAGGAGCAGAGTGTGTGTGTCAGGAGCAGAGTGTGTGTGTCAGGAGCAGAGTGTGTGTGTCAGGAGCAGAGTGTGTGTGTCAGGAGTTGTGAGTGTGTGTGTGTCAGGAGCAGAGTGTGTGTGTCAGGAGCAGAGTGTGTGTGTCAGGAGCAGAGTGTGTGTGTCAGGAGCAGAGTGTGTGTGTCAGGAGCAGCGTGTGTGTGTGTCAGGAGCAGAGTGTGTGTGTCAGGAGCAGAGTGTGTGTGTCAGGAGCAGAGTGTGTGTGTCAGGAGCAGAGTGTGTGTGTCAGGAGCAGAGTGTGTGTGTCAGGAGCAGAGTGTGTGTGTCAGGAGCAGAGTGTGTGTGTCAGGAGCAGAGTGTGTGTGTCAGGAGCAGAGTGTGTGTGTCAGGAGCAGAGTGTGTGTGTCAGGAGCAGAGTGTGTGTGTCAGGAGCAGAGTGTGTGTGTCAGGAGCAGAGTGTGTGTGTCAGGAGCAGAGTGTGTGTGTCAGGAGCAGGTGTGTGTGTCAGGAGCAGGTGTGTGTGTCAGGAGCAGAGTGTGTGTGTCAGGAGCAGAGTGTGTGTGTCAGGAGCAGAGTGTGTGTGTCAGGAGCAGAGTGTGTGTGTCAGGAGCAGAGAGTGTGTGTCAGGAGCAGAGTGTGTGTGTCAGGAGCAGAGTGTGTGTGTCAGGAGCAGAGAGTGTGTCAGGAGCAGAGTGTGTGTGTCAGGAGCAGAGTGTGTGTCAGGAGCAGAGTGTGTGTCAGGAGCAGAGTGTGTGTGTCAGGAGCAGAGTGTGTGTGTCAGGAGCAGAGAGTGTGTGTCAGGAGCAGAGTGTGTGTGTCAGGAGCAGAGTGTGTGTGTCAGGAGCAGCAGTGTGTGTGTCAGGAGCAGAGTGTGTGTGTCAGGAGCAGAGTGTGTGTGTCAGGAGCAGAGTGTGTGGTGTGTCAGGAGCAGAGTGTGTGTGTCAGGAGCAGAGTGTGTGTCAGGAGCAGGTGGTGTGTGTGTGTCAGGAGCAGAGTGTGTGTGTCAGGAGCAGAGTGTGTGTGTCAGGAGCAGAGTGTGTGTGTCAGGAGCAGAGTGTGGTGTGTCAGGAGCAGAGAGTGTGTGTCAGGAGCAGAGTGTGTGTGTCAGGAGCAGAGTGTGTGTGTCAGGAGCAGCAGTGTGTGTGTCAGGAGCAGAGTGTGTGTGTCAGGAGCAGAGTGTGTGTGTGTGTCAGGAGCAGAGTGTGTGTGTCAGGAGCAGAGTGTGTGTGTCAGGAGCAGAGTGTGTGTGTCAGGAGCAGAGTGTGTGTGTCAGGAGCAGAGTGTGTGTGTCAGGAGCAGAGTGTGTGTGTCAGGAGCAGCGTGTGTGTGTCAGGAGCAGAGTGTGTGTGTCAGGAGCAGAGAGTGTGTGTCAGGAGCAGAGTGTGTGTGTCAGGAGCAGAGTGTGTGTGTCAGGAGCAGAGTGTGTGTGTCAGGAGCAGAGTGTGTGTCAGGAGCAGAGTGTGTGTGTCAGGAGCAGAGAGTGTGTGTCAGGAGCAGAGTGTGTGTGTCAGGAGCAGAGTGTGTGTGTCAGGAGCAGCGTGTGTGTGTCAGGAGCAGGTGTGTGTGTGTCAGGAGCAGCATGTGTGTGTGTCAGGAGCAGAGTGTGTGTGTCAGGAGCAGAGTGTGTGAGTCAGGAGCAGAGTGTGTGTGTCAGGAGCAGAGTGTGTGTGTGTGTCAGGAGCAGAGTGTGTGTGTCAGGAGCAGAGTGTGTGAGTCAGGAGCAGAGTGTGTGTGTCAGGAGCAGAGTGTGTGTGTCAGGAACAGAGTGTGTGTGTCAGGAGCAGAGGTGTGTGTGTCAGGAGCAGAGTGTGTGTGTCAGGAGCAGAGAGTGTGTCAGGAGCAGAGTGTGTGTGTCAGGAGCAGAGTGTGTGTGTCAGGAGCAGCATGTGTGTGTGTCAGGAGCAGAGTGTGTGTGTCAGGAGCAGAGTGTGTGTGTCAGGAGCAGAGTGTGTGTGTCAGGAGCAGAGTGTGTGTGTGTGTCAGGAGCAGAGTGTGTGTGTCAGGAGCAGAGTGTGTGTGTCAGGAGCAGAGTGTGTGTGTCAGGAGCAGAGTGTGTGTGTCAGGAGCAGAGTGTGTGTGTCAGGAGCAGAGTGTGTGTGTCAGGAGCAGAGTGTGTGTGTCAGGAGCAGAGTGTGTGTGTCAGGAGCAGAGTGTGTGTGTCAGGAGCAGAGTGTGTGTGTCAGGAGCAGAGTGTGTGTCAGTCAGGTTGTTCAGCAGCAGAGTGTGTGTCAGGAGCAGAGTGTGTGTGTCAGGAGCAGAGTGTGTGTGTCAGGAGCAGGAGCAGAGCAGGTGTGTGTGTCAGGAGCAGAGTGTGTGTGTCAGGAGCAGCATGTGTGTGTGTCAGGAGCAGAGTGTGTGTGTCAGGAGCAGAGTGTGTGTGTCAGGAGCAGAGTGTGTGTGTCAGGAGCAGAGTGTGTGTGTGTGTCAGGAGCAGAGTGTGTGTGTCAGGAGCAGAGTGTGTGTGTCAGGAGCAGAGTGTGTGTGTCAGGAGCAGAGTGTGTGTGTCAGGAGCAGAGAGTGTGTGTCAGGAGCAGAGTGTGTGTGTCAGGAGCAGAGTGTGTGTGTCAGGAGCAGAGTGTGTGTGTCAGGAGCAGAGTGTGTGAGTCAGGAGCAGAGTGTGTGAGTCAGGAGCAGAGTGTGTGTGTCAGGAGCAAAGTGTGTGTGTCAGGAGCAGCGTGTGTGTGTCAGGAGCAGAGTGTGTGTGTCAGGAGCAGAGTGTGTGTGTCAAGAGCAGATTGTGTGAGTCAGGAGCAGAGTGTGTGAGTCAGGAGCAGAGTGTGTGAGTCAGGAGCAGAGTGTGTGTCAGGAGCAGAGTGTGTGTGTCAGGAGCAGAGTGTGTGTGTCAGGAGCAGCGTGTGTGTGTCAGGAGCAGAGTGTGTGTGTCAGGAGCAGAGTGTGTGTGTCAGGAGCAGAGTGTGTGTGTGTCAGGAGGAGCAGAGTGTGAGAGTCAGGAGGAGCAGAGTGTGAGAGTCAGGAGGAGCAGAGTGTGAGAGTCAGGAGGAGCAGAGTGTGTGTGTCAGGAGCAGAGTGTGAGAGTCAGGAGGAGCAGAGTGTGTGTGTCAGGAGCAGAGTGCGAGAGTCAGGAGCAGAGTGTGTGAGTCAGGAGCAGAGTGTGTGTCAGGAGCAGAGTGTGTGTGTCAGGAGCAGAGTGTGATAGTCAGGAGCAGAGTGTGAGAGTCAGGAGGAGCAGAGTGTGTGTGTCAGGAGCAGAGTGTGAGAGTCAGGAGGAGCAGAGTGTGTGTGTCAGGAGCAGAGTGCGAGAGTCAGGAGCAGAGTGTGTGAGTCAGGAGCAGCGTGTGTGAGTCAGGAGCAGAGTGTGAGAGTCAGGAGGAGCAGAGTGTGTGAGTCAGGAGCAGCGTGTGTGAGTCAGGAGCAGAGTGTGAGAGTCAGGAGGAGCAGAGTGTGTGTGTCAGGAGCAGAGTGTGAGAGTCAGGAGGAGCAGAGTGTGAGAGTCAGGAGGAGCAGAGTGTGTGTGTCAGGAGCAGAGTGTGAGAGTCAGGAGGAGCAGAGTGTGTGTGTCAGGAGCAGAGTGCGAGAGTCAGGAGCAGAGTGTGTGAGTCAGGAGCAGCGTGTGTGAGTCAGGAGCAGAGTGTGAGAGTCAGGAGGAGCAGAGTGTGTGAGTCAGGAGCAGCGTGTGTGAGTCAGGAGCAGAGTGTGAGAGTCAGGAGGAGCAGAGTGTGTGTGTCAGGAGCAGAGTGTGAGAGTCAGGAGGAGCAGAGTGTGAGAGTCAGGAGGAGCAGAGTGTGTGTGTCAGGAGCAGAGTGTGAGAGTCAGGAGGAGCAGAGTGTGTGTGTCAGGAGCAGAGTGCGAGAGTCAGGAGCAGAGTGTGTGAGTCAGGAGCAGAGTGTGTGTCAGGAGCAGAGTGTGTGTGTCAGGAGCAGAGTGTGTGTGTCAGGAGCAGAGTGTGATAGTCAGGAGCAGAGTGTGAGAGTCAGGAGGAGCAGAGTGTGTGTGTCAGGAGCAGAGTGTGAGAGTCAGGAGGAGCAGAGTGTGTGTGTCAGGAGCAGAGTGCGAGAGTCAGGAGCAGAGTGTGTGAGTCAGGAGCAGCGTGTGTGAGTCAGGAGCAGAGTGTGAGAGTCAGGAGGAGCAGAGTGTGTGAGTCAGGAGCAGCGTGTGTGAGTCAGGAGCAGAGTGTGAGAGTCAGGAGGAGCAGAGTGTGTGTGTCAGGAGCAGAGTGTGAGAGTCAGGAGGAGCAGAGTGTGTGTGTCAGGAGCAGAGTGTGTGTCAGGAGCAGAGTGTGTGAGTCAGGAGCAGAGTGTGTGTGTGTGTGTGTCAGGAGCAGAGTGTGTGTGTCAGGAGCAGCGACTGCAGCTGTGGAAAAAGGACATTCAGCAAAAACAACAGCGTCCCCAAATAATAAATAAAATCCTATGTTCAGGACGTCAGCCGAGCTCTCAGACTCCACGCTCCTCTCTCCTCTCTTCTCTATGTTTGTGCGTCTGGGAGAATCCATATTTAGATCCATATTTCATTTATTAACATGTCTGGGCCGTGCTTGTCTGTGCCACTTTTGCCGCTCAATAAATGTATTGTGTGACACTGTGACAGACCTCGGTAAAAAAAACACGCAACCCCAGACCTCTGCATCTTTTGTCATTCTCTTCACTACTTCCTGTTTTATAGCGTTTCAAAGTTAGCCCCTCCAGCTTGAACGTGTTAGCGTGAACGTGTCCTAATCTGATAATGCATCCTGTATCACGAGATGAAAGCCGCGGTCTGGCATGAGCGAGAGAACATGTGCCGCTTGTAAGATTCTGATTAGAACGAGTAGTGCTTTAGGTTCGATGCCCAGACTGGATCAGCAGACCCCGGCCCATATGGATAATGGACGCTGCTGCTTGTATATGATATTGTTTTTGGGGAGGCGGTGTGTGTGTGTGTGTGTGTGTGTGTGTGTGTGTGTGTGTGTGTGTGTGTGTGTGTGTGTGTGTGGCTGCAGAGTGTCCTTCACGTGCCGGAGGACCAACAAAGCCCAACAAATCAGCCGGAGGAGGGAGAGCGGAGCTGAGTGATGAGAGCGGTCACCTTACACGTAAATCAGAGGTGCAGGAGATGACGGGAGAGCTGTCAGTGCAGAGGCCTGACTAATGCCTGCAGCAGCACGGGCCCCAGAGTATAGTCTGCACCGGGACGCAGCATCAGTCACGGCTCAGACCCAGGTGTGTGGCGTTTGTTAGCGTGTGGGATCAACGAGATATACAGGATTGTTGTTACTGGGAATGAATGACTTTAGTTTAGTTTAGTTTATTAAGATCACCATTAGCAGTGGCTAAGGGTGGAGGCAGGTAATGGGTGAGAGGGGGAGGGTCAGAGAGTTTTGGGGCTGTGTGTGTGTGTGTGTGTGCGTGCGTGCGTGCCTAATGGGTGATTTATACATGTTCTTACTCTACTTCATTATCTTCCTTCATTGGTCCCACAGTGGGGGAAATGTCAGTGTTGCGTCACCGGTTACGGAACCCTTTACTTAGAAAATCTCTACATTCTGAGCATGTATTTATAATCCTATACTACCAGCTTGTATTGGAGCTCTCCTCGCCTTCCCCCTTCAGGCCCTGGTCCTCTTCATAGACTGTAAATATTACCGGACGAAGTGACACCTATCTTCACGGTGAAACTAATGTGGCATCACGTTTACCTTCTATGGGCTTTTAAAAGGAAAATGTGAAAAAAATGAATCTGTGCATGTGTCAGCTGCACGAGCCTCATTCATTTAACGAGTGCATTCAAAAGTCCACAGTGACTAAACTAGACTGGTCCACACACAAAAAGAATACTCCCCTCAGACAGCATCTGGACCAAGAGCCACTTTTGGACCAAGAGCCACTTTTGGACCAAGAGCCACTTTTGGACCAAGAGCCACTTTCGGACCAAGAGACACTTTTGGACCAAGAGCCACTTTTGGACTAAGAGCCACTTTTGGACCAAGAGCCACTTTCGGACCACGAGCCACTTTTGGACCAAGAGCCACTTTTGGACCAAGAGCCACTTTTGGACCATCCTCTGAAGAGGTTTTCCAGAGGAGGTGTTGTAAAAATTATTTGTATCAGTCTGTTTCTGGGGTACACCTACACGACAAAGGAGTCGGATTACAAGCATGTCACAACACGTGCTCATGGACCTTTTTGAGCCGCCCCCCATGTCCTATCCCCCCCCCCCCCCCCCGGTCCTATCCTCGCCCCCCCCCCCCCCCCCCCTCAGCCGTGATCGTGAGTTGGAGCCAACCAAGTCTTCCCATCCGGATGCAATTAGAGCAGTGCAAAGACAACGAGAGTGAATCTAATAAGTATCATGTCACAGAGACTGATGGAGCAGTGGCGAGCGAGAGGAGCATCCTGTCTGAGGCTGAGGACGGGGCCGAGAGGAGCATCCTGTCTGAGGCTGAGGACAGGGCCGAGAGGAGCATCCTGTCTGAGGCTGAGGACAGGGCCGAGAGGAGGAGCATCCTGTCTGAGGCTGAGGACGGAGCCGAGAGGAGCATCCTGTCTGAGGGTGAGGACGGAGCCGAGAGGAGCATCCTGTCTGAGGCTGAGGACGGGGCCGAGAGGAGCATCCTGTCTGAGGCTGAGGACGGAGCCGAGAGGAGCATCCTGTCTGAGGCTGAGGACAGGGCCGAGCGGAGCATCCTGTCTGAGGCTGAGGACGGGGCCGAGAGGAGCATCCTGTCTGAGGCTGAGGACGGGGCCGAGAGGAGCATCCTGTCTGAGGCTGAGGACGGGGTCGAGAGGAGCATCCTGTCTGCTGCTGAGGACGGAGCCGAGAGGAGCATCCTGTCTGAGGCTGAGGACGGAGCCGAGAGGAGCATCCTGTCTGAGGCTGAGGACGGGGCCGAGAGGAGCATCCTGTCTGAGGCTGAGGACGGGGCCGAGAGGAGCATCCTGTCTGAGGCTGAGGACGGGGTCGAGAGGAGCATCCTGTCTGAGGCTGAGGACGGGGCCGAGAGGAGCATCCTGTCTGCTGCTGAGGACGGAGCCGAGAGGAGCATCCTGTCTGAGGCTGAGGACGGAGCCGAGAGAAGCATCCTGTCTGAGGCTGAGGACGGAGCCGAGAGGAGCATCCTGTCTGCTGCTGAGGACGGAGCCGAGAGGAGCATCCTGTCTGAGGCTGAGGACGGGGCCGAGAGGAGCATCCTGTCTGAGGCTGAGGACGGGGCCGAGAGGAGCATCCTGTCTGCTGCTGAGGACGGGGCCGAGAGGAGCATCCTGTCTGAGGCTGAGGACGGAGCCGAGAGGAGCATCCTGTCTGAGGCTGAGGACGGGGCCGAGAGGAGCATCCTGTCTGCTGCTGAGGACGGAGCCGAGAGGAGCATCCTGTCTGAGGCTGAGGACGGGGCCGAGAGGAGCATCCTGTCTGAGGCTGAGGACAGGGCCGAGAGGAGCATCCTGTCTGAGGCTGAGGACGGGGCCGAGAGGAGCATCCTGTCTGAGGCTGAGGACGGAGCCGAGAGGAGCATCCTGTCTGAGGCTGAGGACGGGGCCGAGAGGAGCATCCTGTCTGAGGCTGAGGACGGAGCCGAGAGGAGCATCCTGTCTGAGGCTGAGGACGGGGCCGAGAGGAGCATCCTGTCTGAGGCTGAGGACAGGGCCGAGAGGAGCATCCTGTCTGCTGCTGAGGCTCGGAGAATCTAAGGCTCAGCACAGACTCTGAGTCTCTGAGACTCTGAGGTAAACACAGACACCACAGGCTCAGCTCTGCTCCTCACTGCTCTGGAAGTGGGTCTCAGTATTATTCAACATGCATTCAGACGGGCAAGAAAACTGACAACTGCTACAAACATACGCAGCCAGCCACAAATTGATCAAAACTAAGAAAGCGGAGATGGGAGAGGGAGGTGTAGGGTCAGAGAGTTTTTGGGGATGTGTGTGTTTATGTGTGTGTGCGGTTCACTTATACTTAACCCTTGCTACTCTGGGGCAAAATGACCTGCCACAGATGATTAAAAGTAGATTGGTTATTTGGTTAGGGTTAATTTTTAAATTAATATGTGTTGAAACTACCACCAGAGCTCTCAAACCTCACAACACGTGTCTCTCTGATACACCCTAAAGATCGGATCACCAAAGGCAGAAAAGCCGCAGAAGTTAATGCTTTACAATAAGAGTTGTAACAGCGTGTTCATTTGTAAAACGGCCTCAATCAACACCATCATACAATATCTTCTGGTCCTGACTCTGCTCTGGACCTGCACTTTGACAGTGAGGACACGGTCTTGTTGGACCAAGAGGCTCGCTGGTTTGAAAGAGGATGAAGGAGGAAGTATAACAAGACTGTCTCTGAGACTGGACCTGAGACTGGCCCCGCTCACATTTGGGACAATGTTTATTGGAGAGACCAGAGAGAGAGACCAGAGAGAGACCAGAGTGAGGGATCAAAGAGAAAAGAGAAAGAGAGACCAGAGAGACCAGAGTGAGGGATCAGAGAGAAAAGAGAAAGAGACCAGAGAGAGAGACCAGAGTGAGAGATCAGAGAGAGAAAAGAAAGAGAGACCAGAGAGAGACCAGAGTGAGAGATCAGAGAGAGAAAAGAGAAAGAGAGACCAGAGAGAGAGACCAGAGAGAGACCAGAGTGAGAGATCAGAGAGAAAAGAGAAAGAGAGACCAGAGAGAGACCAGAGTGAGAGATCAGAGAGAGAAAAGAGAAAGAGAGACCAGAGTGAGAGATCAGAGAGAGAAAAGAGAAAGAGAGACCAGAGAGAGAGACCAGAGAGAGACCAGAGTGAGAGATCAGAGAGAGACCAGAAAAAGAGAGACCAGAGAAAGAGAGATCAGAGAGAGAGACATGAGTGAGAGACTAGAGAGAGAGACCCGAGAGAGAGAGACCAGAGAAAGAGAGACTTGAGAGAGACACGAGAGAGAGATCAGAGAGAGAGAACAGAAAGAGAGACCAGAGAGAGAGAAAGTTTGATATTTACTTGGATGTCCCAAAATTGTCACCATGTTATTCCGTAACTGTCCAATACGTCAAATGTTATTATTCTATATAATATTATAATTCTATCGGAATTTAAGTTTTTTTTCCATTTCCAGACGGACTTTCAATAACAGATACAGATGCTGGACATGAATCTTTTACCGCATCATAAACGGTAGACTTTTGTGTCCTCTCCGCTCTCGTGCCGCTCTGCCTCACTGCTCCTCGCGGCCCTCGCTGCTCTCCCTGTGAGAGCATTTTAATGGGGGCTTCAGGCAAAGTTGGGTTAAGTGTCTTGCCCAAGGACACAACGCCAGCAGTTATCAGTGGGAGTTGGTGGGAAAGGTCTCCTTCAGGCTCAAAGGCCAATGCTCTACCAACTGAGCCACTGTCGCCCCGCACACACATAGAGCCATTGATCCATAAGAAGCAGAGACCAAGGGCGGCACGGTGGCTGAGTGGATAGCACTCTCGCCTCTCAGCAAGAAGGTCCTGGGTTCGTATCCCGGTTGGACCAGGGCCTTTCTGAGTGGAGTTTGCATGTTCTCCCTGTGTCTGCGTAGGTTTCCTCCGGGTGCTCCGGTTTCCCCTACCACTAAAAATATGTACAATAGGTCTGGCATGTGCCTCCTGTACTGGCGACCCTGCTCCCAAAAATAACAATTGTAAACCGCTTTGAGACTCCGATGTGCAGTGAAAAGGCGGTATATAAATAAAGATTACTACTACTTACTAACAAGGTCCATAAATGTGGTTGAATGTGGAGGGTCCTGGTTAGACACTCCTGCATCAGCAAAACACAACTCTAAAACCCAGAGAGAAATGACTTCAGAGAGTCCCACATTGAGGGAGGGATCTGCTCCCACGGATGGACGGGCTGTAGATCCAGGACTCAGGCTGTAGATCCAGGACTCAGGCTGTAGACCAAGGACTGAGGCTGTAGATCCAGGACTCAGGCTGTAGATCCAGGACTCAGGCTGTAGATCCAGGACTCAGGCTGTAGATCCAGGACTCAGGCTGTAGATCCAGGACTCAGGCTGTAGATCCAGGACTCAGGCTGTAGACCGAGGACTGAGGCCACGTGATGCAGGACTGACGCAGGACTCCAGGTGGGGAGGGGGTGCAGCCCAAAAAAATAAAATAAATAAAACTTGGCTGTTTTCTTTTGCTCTATACCTTTGTAAAAACAGTATATACCAGACTATAAATCACTACTTATTTCACATCCTTTCAACCCGGCGGCTTATCAATGAAATGTTTTTGTGGAGAATCTTCGGGGAGGCACAGGGAAGAATCTGGACACGGCTCTGTCAGCTGTTTATGTTTATGTGAACGCAACAGCAGACGTCTCTGAGGACTTTACAAAGTTGCTGATTCCTTAGATAGATTTCTTAACAAACAGATATACAGAGATCAGAGAGAGAAACGCAGGAGATACAATAAGAACAAACACATTAGAGCCATTGGTCCATAAGCAGCGGGACGACCAACTAATAAATGACTGTCCCGGATCACTGTCCTTTGACCCTCCATAACTAACACCGTATTTCCCAGAGTTCTTTGATCATCACGAGTCAACACGAGTCAATTATATCAGTTGTGTCCAGATAAGTAATTTCTCTGCTTAGTTTTGCTCCATCAGCTGTTCGTTCATTTATATTCAAGTGTCCATAAACAACATTTATAGACATTATGGACCAATGACTCTGTGTGTTCCTGTGTTACTGTTTGATTCTCTGATCTGTGTTGGAGAATTGAACGCAGCACTTAATAATCCAGCAGGTTCAGCGCTGGAGCTGCTTCTGGGTGTCCCTCTCTTTTTCACTTTTCTGTCTGAAAAAGCTGATCGAAACATATGACAGGAGCCAAAACATACATGTTAAAAACCGTGTTGATAGTGACAGATGGATTTTATATTTTTGTTCCTATATGCAGCTACAATCTGGGACTGTCTTCCTGAAAATGTGAGACAGGTTTCTACTCTGACAATGTTCACATCCAAGTGAAGTTAAAGACTTTTCTTGTTTTGCGGCGCACTTTGAGTTGTGTTGCTGTTGTAGTTGTGTATGCATGCAGTGTGCTTTACAAATAAACCTGCCTTGTCTTGTCTTTTGTGTTTTGAAAGTACCCAAGCTTTAAGATCAACACCCTTAAGTTAGAGATGTTAGACCTGCTTCTTTATTTTAGTATTTTAATTTATCTTGTGTTGTGTGCTCCTCATTCCTACTGTTCTGTGACTGATGATGCAACACTGACATTTCCCCGCTGTGGGACAAATACAACATCTCTTCATCTTCATCTTAATATTAATCAACTTTGCAGTGAAAATGGCAGGCTGCTCGTGTTTTAGTGTTGCCTGTGTGTGTGTGTGTGTGTGTGTGTGTGTGTGTGTGTGTGTGTGTGTGTGTGTGCGTACATACCTGCAGCGGTGCTCTGATGGTGGTCTCCCATATCCATGCCCAGTGAACAGAGACCCAGAGATGGCAGCCGTGTGCTCCGGACTCTCGCTGAACTGTGGAGCGGGTGATGAAGAGGAGGCTGTACGAGGGGCGGGGTCTGTGATGAAGAGAGAGAGAGGAGAGAGAGGAGAGGAGATAGAGAGAGAGAGGAGAGGAGATAGAGAGAGAGAGGAGAGGAGATAGAGAGAGAGAAGAGAGGAGATAGAGAGAGAGAAGAGAGGGAGAGGAGAGAGAGGAAAGAGAGAGAGAGGGAGAGGAGAGTTAGAGAGAGAGGCGAGAGAGAGGAGAGAGAGACAGAGAGAGGAGAGAGACAGGAGAGAGAGAGAGCGAAAGAGAGGAGAGAGAGGCGAAAGAGAGGAGAGAGAGGCGAGAGAGACAGAGAGAGAGACAGGAGAGAGGAGAGAGACAGGAGAGAGAGACAGAGAGAGAGAGAGAATGATCTGTCCTCCATTTTCAGTTTTTCTGTTTCTATATGTAACTTATTAATGTGTAATTTACTTTTATTTTTGAAATGTGAGTTCCTTGAATGTTAATTTTTGGTTTCTATCCAAACAAACAAATAAATACATCATTCTAAAAGGTACAAACAACAGTAATACGGTCATAGACGCCCGGGTTGGTTTTTGACCAAGCAGACTCTGGTTCAGAGTGAAGTTCTGAATACTTTTTTAGCATTTGTATTTTTTCTTTTTGCATTCCTCCAGTGGATTTCTGCTTGATCTGATTGGTTGGGACCGTGATTCGTCTCTGCTCTGGTCTGGACCAGTGTAAAACCATGAACACAGTCTGCACTAACATTTATAGATAGAAACTACTCACATTTCAAACATAACTATATAGAAAGATAAGCCACAGACAGATACAGAAAAAGTCACACATTTAGTAAGACCGAAAACTAAAAGCCGTCAAATTGACTGCTCCGGGAGTTCTAGCGTTGAGGCAAGAGCACAGTGTTCTTGTCCAGACTCAAATGTAAAACAAATACTCAGCGGACGCAGTGATGAGCTTGTGCTTTGAGCAACTGTGCATCATAAATAATTCAGCCTGTGCGTGTGTGAGCACCCGCGGCACCTCTGCACACACTCTCGGCTCGTGCCTAATGCCGCACATTAAGTCAGCCCTGTCCCACACTATTAGGAAAATGAGTCAAGTTGGACAACAACCTGTGAATGTCCATAAAACCGGGAATAAATCACGTTCTGTGCGAGGCGCGCCCGGTTTCTGCTTATATATAATGTTCTACAATTACCAGCGCGGCC